GGTCCTGGGATCGAGCCCCACATCGGGCTCCCTGCTCGGCGGGAAGTCTGCTTCTCCCTCTCCCACTCCCTCTGCTTGTGTTCCCTCTCTTGCTGTGTCTCTGTCAAATAAATAAATAAATATTTTTTAAAAAAAAGAAAATTGTAAAGAAGTAGATGATATGAAGAACATTTTCAGTTTCCCTGAATTGATTGACATTTGCAGAGCAATTACTCAACAGTAGGAGAATACACATTTTTTTAAGTGCACATGGCATTTTCACCAGGATAACTCTTATGTTGAGTTGTAAAATAAATCTCGTTGAAATTAAAAAGACTGAAATCATATAGTGTGTTCTCTGATGACAGGGGAATTAGGGGCCAATAACAATGAGATAATTGGAAACATTAGATAAGTAGAAAAATATTTGGACATTACACAACCATTTCTGAATAATCCAGGAGCCAAGTCACAAAGAAATCAGAAAATATTTTAAATTGAATAATAAGAAAACCTGACATGTTAAGATTTGGGAGCAAAACCAGAGGAATATAGCTAAAGCCATGCTTAGAAAGAGGCTTGTAGTTTTAAATGTTCATATTAGAAAAATGGAGAAGTACAAAATTAATGATCAGAGTTCCAATTTTGAAAAATCAATAAAAACAGATTAAACCCTAAGTTGCCTTTTAGTTGTATGGTTGACTTGGTTTCAGTGGAACAATTTTTCTTGAGGGCCATTCCGCATTACTCTGTAGAATTTATCTGTGATTCTGAGCCTCATTTCTGTATTTACATTTCCAAGTCTTCATCTCTCTAATATTTAATTAAATCTGCATTCTTTTTGTAAATATAGATTACATTAGCAAACCTACCACTGTCATTAAGTATATTTAATTTGGGGAAGATGTGAATCAGATTCAGCTGAAGAAGGATCCCTTACTTCTATGTCAAAACTATGATATGTTCTCAGGGTAATTATGAGCATTTAGCCTTGATACAGCTGTAAATTTGGGTTCTGTAGATGACATATGACTTACTTGAATTGCCATGTTATTTATGTGTCTGAGCAGTTCCTTAGTCTGTTTTATTTGACAGTGTTTGTTTTATCATGCAGGGTACATCAGAGAAGGGTTCCTGGCTGTACAGCATGCCTTAGATAAGGCCATCATGCTGTATCATGAGAGCAGTGCTAGCCAGAAACTGTTCGATAGTATCAGTATCTTTACACAGAGATTTCCATACCCAGCTTATTCTCATGATGGATTAATTTGGATCATTAGTTCCTTCCTCCCTTTGATGTTCATACTCATGTTCTCTCCAACTGTACTTTCCATCATGCGATCCGTTGTCTGGGAAAGGGAAAAAAGATTGAAGGTAATCCCAATTTCTTTGTTTGTTTCAAGTTTTTATTTAAATTCCAGTTAGTTAATATATAATGTAATATTAGCTTCAGGAGTAGAATTTAGAGATTCATCAGTTATGTACAACACCTGGTGCTTATCACAAGTGCCTTCTTTAATCCCCATCACCCATTTAACCCTTCCCCCCACCCACCTCCCCTCCAGCAGCCCTCAGTTTATTCTTTATAGTTAAGAGTCTGTTTTATGGTTTGCCTCTCTTTTTTCGCCCCTATGTTCATCTGTTTCTGTAAAAATGTTTTTAGGCCTGTAGGGCTCTTTTGTATGGAGAGTTGGATTATTTTTACATATTTATCATTGGTGGGTAGTTGTTACATCCCAGTAGCAGGAAATATAAAACAAGAAAAGTGAATACTGATGCCATTTACCGGTTTTTCAAGCTGGCATGATTTCAGAGAGAAACTTGTCTCTTGGGAGCAACAGGAAGAGAAAACCTGAAGGCATGCAGGGAGACAAAAAGGATCACTGGAGGAATTTAAAATCTCTAATAACTAAAGTAACAGTGAACAGCTCTTGGCTAAATTAACATAAAACCCCACATCTTAGGCCTTCACCTTGATATCTGTTATCCTAGATAATATGTCTGGTTCTCAACAAAAAAATCATTAGGCACACCAAAAATTAAGAAAAAAAAAAACGTAGTCCAAAGAGGCAAGTCAGTCATCAGAACCAGACACAGATAAAACACAGATGTTGGAAATATCAGATGAGGAATTTTAAATTACTGTAATAATTTAAAGGCTCTAAGGGAAAGGTAGATATGTCCAGGAGCCTCAAGACAGCCCCTAATTTCTGAAATTTTCTAGAAGGACTAGTGGGACTCTGCATATAGTTAATGCTAACAGCCAGGAATTATTATAGTGGTGTAATAAGTAAACATAGCTGGCTCAGAAGAGGATATGACACAAGCAAAGCCTGGAGGAATTCACCTGCAGGCTTCTTCAATTAGCCCCACAAGAGGTCACACAGAGCACACTCTTGCTCAGCAATGAAAATCCAGCAGTATGTTTTTTATGTTTGTGTCCAGGGAAGTCCACTAGAGATTTAGCACCCAAGGTTTTGATGGGGGCTGGTCATGTAGACACCCTTGCCTAGCATGTACCAAAATTCCACAGTCCTAGAAAGCAGGTATTCAGCATAAACCATAGTGTTTGTACCAACAGTTTTGGCACAGTCACCTACCCTTATCATTTAAGGAAAGTTTTATATCATTGCAGGGAACAGTTTACCAGCCAAGTTCCCATATACCAGCCAAGTGCCAACTTGTAGATATGCCTTTTTTTTTAATTAATTTATTTTTTTATTTAAATTCAATTAATTAACATATAGTGTATTATTTTTTTTTTAAGATTTTATTTATTTATTTGACAGAGAGAGAGATAACGAGAGCAGGAACACAAGCAGGGGGAGTAGGAGAGGGAGAAGCAGGCTTCCCGCCTAGCAGGGAGCCTGATGTGAGGCTCAATCCCAGGACCCTGGCATCATGACCAGAGCCGAAGGCAGACAGACACTTAACGACTGAGCCACCCAGGCGCCCCCATATAGTGTATTATTAGTTTCAGGGGTAGAGTTTAGTGATTCATCAGTTGCATATAACACCCGGTGCTCATTACATGCCTTTCTAAGAATAGTAGTCTCGGGCCTCCTTTGTTAACTCTTTTCTGCCCAGTAGGTAACATGCAAGATCAGATAGGTAATGTTATCAGACAGTCAAAACTATAAGGAGTCAAAGAGAATTTCTAGACATAAAAAACATGCTAACAAAAATGAAGAATGCTTTTGATGGACTCATCACTAGACTTGAGGAAAGAATCATAGAATTGAATATGATAGTTGAAAGTATACAAACTGAAACGCAAAGACAATACAAAATGTAAAATCCCAGAATAAAGCATTCAAAAAGTGTAGGACAATATAAATGGTATAACATATACATAATTTAAATCCCCAAAAAACAGAATAGAGCCAAAGAAATAATGGCAGAGAATTTTCCAAAATTAAGATAGACATCAAATCACAGGTCTAAGAAGCTCAGAGAACACAAAGCAGGAAAAATAGCATGCACACACAAACACACAGAGTATATTCAAACTGTTGAAAATTAAAGACCAAAAAGAAAATCTTGAAAGCAATCAGAGTGGGGATAAAGACACATTGCCTACAAGGAACAAGCTCTAACATACAATTGGATTTAAAAAAAAAAATAGATGCATTTCTCTTATACTCCAGGAAGTAGAGTATAATAAGAGAGCTTAATATTTCAAAGTTTAATTTTAGATTTTTCCCTTTTGGTCCATTACTAAGTATAGTAATGAAGAAAGATCTCTGAACTCAGGAGAAGTATATTTTAATGCCAGCACTGCCCTAACTGACTGCGTAATTTTGAACAGCACACTTTCTGAGCCTTGATTTTTCTTATTCATAACATGGAGATGATATTAACCATTTACATAGTTTTTTGTGGAAATTTAAATAGAAAAATATATGTAAATGGTATGGATTGCTGATACATGTAATATTTGACTTGTGCTGTCCTACAGGAGTACCAGCTTATAATTGGACTTAAAAACTGGATCATCTGGGCTGCCTATTTCTTCACATTCTTCTTTTTTTATATGATTATTATCTCTATGATATGTGTTTTATTCTCTGCCAAGGCAAGTGTCTAATTTCATGCTATTCAGTAGAAATACCGTAAGTCACATATGTAATACTGGTTTTTTAGTAGCCAGTAGAAATTTTTAAAACCATAAAGAACAGGTGAAATTATGTTAATGATATTTTAAATTTAACCTAATATGTACAAAATATTATTTGAATATGCAACCAATTTAAAAATTAAGAGTTTTTTTCTTTTTTTTACATTTTATTTATTTGAGAGAGAGCGAGAGAAAGAGAACATGAGCGTGGGGCAGGGCAGAGGGAGACTCCCCACTGAGCAGGGAGGCTGACACGGGGCTGTATCCCA